GAGAGTGACATATACCTTATATTTATATCACACCACTGACTTATGTTTCATAAAATCATTTTGAATGGGGTATAACCATTGGCATGGAAAAGCATAAAAAATATGATCTGTTTTCAAGAAGAGTGATCCTTGACATATAGAAAATTATAGACCAATTTCAATTTTTTTGTAACTTTTCCAAAATCCTTGATGGTGATTTGTATGATTATTTATTTGGCTTTTAAACCACATACTTCAGACATTCATCATGGCTTCTTGAAACGAAGATCTACAGTTACAAACTTACTAACTTTTACTCGTATTATATCCTCCTCTTTGAGAATATATGGGCAAGTTGATGTGAACTTAAGACTTCTCTAAGACATTTGATGTCTTAGATCATTATGCTATTTCAAATAAACTGAAGCTGTCAGATATATCTCATAATTATGAATGCTGGATGAAATCTTACTCGAGGACTGGAGCTATGATTGTGCAATATGCTGGCTATGTTTCACCAGCATTTATGCCACCACATGTTCCATAAGGTTCCAATCTTGAGGCACTGCTCTTTGCCCTAACAAGTGATGATTTTAATGAGAATTGGTGTTACCTCCTGACCTATGCAGACATAATGGAACTTTTGTTTGACCCATCACTTTAGTTGAGGATTGTGTTAAAACTACAGGATAATTTGATCACCTTTTATAATTGTTGCATTTTACATAAATTAACTCTAAATCCAGGTAAATGTAAGGTCATGTCGTTAGTGTTAGATCACAGAGAGTAGCTTTTAGTTATTAGTTTGCTATTAGAGAATAGCAATCAGTTTCTGTAATAAAAAGATGTAGATATTATTTTTGATAAGCTATCTTTTAAACATAATAAGGACCTTGTAAATAACGTAAATAGAACTAGCTTTGTACAGGATTGAAGAAGATAAAACCTGAGGAACCCAAGTGTTTTGCTAATTATGTATAAACATGTAAACTACTAAATTATATGATAATTAGTAAAAGGAATAATTATCCTACAATAATGTACTTTTTTGTAATTTTATAATTAACAATACTTAAGCAACAGATTTCAGCCTATTTTTTTTTCCTTCAATGGAAAACGTGATCTTTTAGGTTACTTAATGTGAATTTTGTAGAGTTGGAATTGCCTATTTCACTAATGTGTATTTTATGTTTAAATGCCTAATGTTCCCTATTCTCATATTTATTCATCAAAAACCCAATTATCCTCCTTAAATTCTTTTTTAATTTACTTTTCGGTTTTATCTTGCAGAGTACAGAGAAATTGAACTATCGATAAATTTATCTACCATTTTACTACCACCACACAGCGAGTATTTCGTATTATAAACCGCAGACTAAATCGCTGCTGTAGTCAAATAATTTTTTCCTTTGCTTATAAAAAATTTTTTACTCAAAATTATTCAAATAGAGGACAGCATAAAAATTGGAGGCAGTTCCATTTTTCATGAACAATGTATTTTCGAACATTGCAAAAGTGTAATATTGAATTCAGAGAATTTTGTCTTAAATTAAATGTTCTAAAAAATCAATCTTTAAAAAGATCATGTACAGTTTTTTATAAATGAGTTTTTTGCAGAATTCTTGTTGGAAATTACTTATTAAAAACCATTAAAAGTGCTCAAATCCCACTACGAATTTTCCCACGGATAGAGCAAAGGGCACTTAAATGGTGCAAGTATAAACTTACGAATTTTTGCAAAATACAAATTCCCCCCCCCCCCCCAGATGTAATGCACGAACGCATGTGCAGTTGTAACTCCACTAGTTACAACATTTATGTTATGCATAGCGATTAATATGAATCAAACAATATTTTAAAATATCTTTAAATTAAAGAAGAAATATCATCCTTGAAACATTAAGAGTACCAGCTTGCATTTAACGAAAATCAAAAAATGTAGCTACTGCGATTCAGTCTTTTTTGTCCGAATTGCCCAACAATGAAAGAAATACAATGATTTGTCAGAACAATGATGAAAGCAAGCAATCCATGAAAGTAACTATATTACATACACTTCAGAAACTTACCACACAAGTACATAAATAAGGATAAGAAAAATGTATAGTGCCTTTTTAAATTCCCATTTTGCAGTTTTAAATGCCCATTTTGCCTATATATTACTACAATTTTTGGGGGCTATAAATCCACAGCTTATTAATACTATATGTGTTTTATTTATGCCTTTTCAGGCATATCAGTTGTATTGATGCCAGCAAGCTACATAAATAAAAAGATGTCTTGTGTAAACTTATATTTCCTGGTTGAGTGTATATGGAGTACAATTACAAAGGGAACAGTTTGATAAAGTTTTGCTGAGATCATACCCAGCTTTATGAACTTGAAATCATTCAGAAATATGATACTACTAAAAACTGATGATTAATCTACCAATAAAGAATGAAATTAACAAAAGTTCAACACTAAAACATTTCTCACTTTGTTAGTACTCACCTTAGCGAAAAAAAGTAAATGCTGTCGAACAGTAAGATCAGGAAACAACAAATTATGCTGAGGGCAAAGTCCTAAACTTTCTCGAACTTTGCTCATGTAGTATTTAATATTATAACCATTTATTTCCACAGTACCACTAGTAGGTGGCAACATTCCTGAAAAAGATTTTTACATAAAACAGGACACAAATGGCAAACATTACGCAGCAAATCAATTTAACAATCTTTTCAAGTAAATTTTAAATCACAAGAAAATTATCATTATGATTCATAAACTGAGGATTGAATTGAATTAATTAATGATCAATTTTCAGATTCAACGTAGCAAATGTTTAATTAAGTAATGAAGTTAAATAAAATTACATGATTAGTTACTGGAAGGTTATCCAGTACATTCACTTGCAAGCTACATCTATAACACAGTTTGAAAAAGTGAAGACTTCCAAGCTACAATCAACACAATAACTTTAACTTCTGTGTCTCACCTGACTCTTTTGCCTAAATGGCTGTTAAGTATACACAGAAGAACAAAACATTCTAATCACTTGCAGGAGTGCCAAAGAATATTAACTGAATTTTCAATTTTGCCCTGGTAAGCAACAGTTTAATAACATTGAAAATATTGTAAATGAACACATTTAGTTCAAAATACAATTTAACAGTACTGTCTTCTTCTTTTTCTTCTTCTGCACTTCACGGTTTAGGCAGTGCTGCCTGGTCTGGAAACTATCTTCTCCTTGAACAACCAATTCTTCAACAATCAGCTGGTGAATATTCACTCGCCAATCAAGGTATTTAATTACCACACATATGCTCCAGATGACTACACCAATCCACTTACCATATTTACTCAAATATAAGTGGTATTCTAATATAAGAAGACCCTCTAATTTTGAAGAGACCTCTTGAGAATTTTTTTAAATTTTTAACTTATTCCTACAGTTAGTCACAATAAAATTACAAATTGTCTTACAGACTAGAAAGTTGCCTTGATGAAAATAAGACTTACTACCTGAACTTTCATAATCTAATTCCTCAAAAATATAATTATTTTTGTCACTACCTTCATCATCAGCTTATAAACCAATGTTTCTTTTTGGTCCTCATTCCATGGCACGACATCTGACTTTCTAGGCACCTCTTGAGACTTTTGCACTTGGAATTTACGTTGTTTTCAGTCTTTCCTCAGATGCCACCTAAGAACATTACCTTCTGTGTCACCAGATTTTCTATCTGTCCCCTGCCTTTGGTTTTGGCCTCTGTTTTTTTAACAGTTCTTTCATATTCTTCAATGAACTTGAAATCAGCATTGTTTACTGTACGTGTGACAAAGTTGTGAATTGTGAACTCCTGCATCTGTGTCTTGGTTTCGTAAAGTGGGTAACATCAGTGAGTTTTCGAGTTCGGAAAGAAAATACATTTTTTATAATACTTTTCTAGGGTTACATGTAGCATGAGTGAGTCTATCAATATGATTTTCTTTATTTGTGTCCCTTGCAAAACACAGATTTGCATTCATCAGGATTCTGGCCAAGATTCGTTGTGGCCTCGTCAAACCTGCATCATGTAACAAAATCTTGACTTATATTTCTACATTGAGTTTCTCTTGATACAATGCCATTCTTTTAAGATTCTTTCTTTACCCACCCCTTCAAAATTATTGGACTGAATTGTCCAGCAAATTTGTTGAGGATGCTGAAAATATGATCGCAAATGTAACTACTAGGGAGGGGGAGGATTTTTATGCCCTAAACAATCTTGAAATATGCTTTTAAAAAACTGCATATGAGCATTGTAGCAAATGAAAATTTTCAAGGAAATTTAAATGTTTTCATATTTTAATAACATAATAATGTGTTTATGAGTAATATTGGGCTTCTGACTTTTCTAAATATTGTAAATTTCACACAAGAGAGAGAGTACAAAGAGTACAAAGTTTTAAGGCGCTAGTATTTCTCAGCTGGCAAGCAAGCATAGGGCTTCCGTACCGCTTACATTAATATACTGTGGTAGTAATCGTTTCATGATTTATCACTTCACAAGGTCTCCAATTATCATTTCATCATCATGTTTTCAAGACTTTGTTTGTAAAGTTGTTGCCGTCCGTATAGGTCATATTCAAGGTTTGGGCTAAATTTATACCATAACTCAAGTTTGCTTTACCTCGCTTAACTTTCCACAAAGTTAGAAGAGAAGTTAGAGAGAGAAAGAGGGAGAGAGAGAGAGAAAGAGGGAGAGAGAGAGAGAAAGAGAGAGAGAGAGAGAGAGAGAGAGAGAGAGAGAGAGAGAGAGAGAAAATTCCCACCCTCCACGAAGCTCACAATTTATGTATACAGAATTTAAGAAACCAACATAGGTCGTTCCTACTTAGAGGGCACTGAGCTACACAATAAGTATTCATATTGTAATCACAGAACTATTGTGAGCGAGAGTGATGTGGTTATTCTACACCACGACATCTCTGTACTCAAGAAACGGTGTATGGATAACAAGTTATTCTTGAACATTAAGAATGTGCTGTGATGATCTTCTCTCGTCCTTATGGTCAATACAATGTCAACAATCAGATATATGGAAGAAACGTTACAAATTGTTAATTTAAAGATCTGGGCATAATTATTGTGAGAAACTTACTTTTGCTGATCATGTGGATAACATTTCTAAAAAAGCATACAAAATCTTGGGATTCATACTCAGATCAAAAAAAGAATTTAGAAGCATCAACACAGTCTTGTTTTACTCTGCATTAGTGGTACAAATACTGGGATACGGAAGCATGTTTGGTCACCATACACTGTCCAACATATTACACGAATTGAGAGAGTTCAACAAAAGTTCTGCAAATCCTTAGTTTATTACTATCAAGATGAAAATGTGAGAAACACTGATGATGTTTACGACCTACTTAAGATTGAGAGCCTTCAAACTCTCAGACAAATGATAGACCTTATTTTTTTTCTACTAAGTATTTAATGGCTTTATAGACTCGCCTGAAATATTAGAGCAATTTGGCCTAGTATGCACCAGGCCTAATTTGCGCACAAGACGACTTGTGAATGTGAATAAATCCAACAAGAATTATGTCATCTATGGGCCACACACTAGAATAGCTAACATTGTCAATCCAATAGCACCAAACGTTCATTACTTCGATATATCTATATCTACTTTCAATCATAGCATAAAAGAAGTCATTTAATTTTTACTTATTATTGTCTCAACCAAATTTTGTGATGCAATGTTTATGATATGTACACATCAATTGTATACTTCTGTTTATGTGCTTATGCTCTTTATATACATAATACATTATAATGTGAAAATTTAAATGTAAAACCGATTGGCGTAAGTGAATGAATGAATGAATGAATGAATGAATGAATGAATGAATATTGTAGCAAAACCAAGATCTAGCTTACATAAATTGAAGACCAGCAAATCAGAACGGCATTAAAATATCAAGTTTAGTGCTGAATCGCACACAGATACTGTTAAATTAATCTTGGGAATCATTTGGCACTCAAAGGCATTGTAAGATCGTGAATGGCCTTGCGACCATACACATACAGAAGCTTTCAGCGACAGCCTGACTGCACACACTAACACGTCTAGAGACGTTCAGGACAGAAATTTTGTGCGTCTACTCGTCCATAACAATCAAAGGGTTAAAGCTGAGGAAATCTCTTAGCAAGTGTCCATTTTTTTTATTGTATTCTCACCATACAAACCTACCCTGTTAAAGATATGCCTCGTACCAGCCCTAAAAAATTGATCGCTTTGGCAGAATTAATCTACTACTTTCTGGGGTTCCCTATAGAACTTGTCTGACTCTTCTGTGTGAGCAGATGAAATGCTAAAAGAAAATGACACGAAAGCGAAAATGGAGCCCAACGTACTCACCGGTGAGGATCATCATGGTGGTGCTCTTCCCTGCTCCGTTGTGGCCCAGGAGGGCAGTGATTTGTCCTTTGCAGATGTCCAACGACACATCGTCTACAGCTACTTTCGTCGTTCTATTCCAAGGAGATTTGAATACTTTCTGTAATTTCCGTATTTTGATACCCAAGGGCAATGACTTTGCTAGAGGTTCAAATGTTTCTGGATCATGACCGGAACCTCCTTTCATATCTGATTGTGGAGTAACTCTGGCACATTTATTAAGACAAACCTGACAACATTCAATTTTATTAGATTAGTACTACAAAGAAAAACTTTACCACATACTTTACCATTTATTGGCCACATTTTCTTACCATGAATGGAAAATACCACGGTTTTGCAACACCATAATCTCCCGGGAAAATAGCTTCCAGGTACATAGCAATAGTGAAGTAAAAAACGGTTTGAGCCACAAACAATACCCATACTTGCCACAAATGGAAGTCACCACTCATCGCAGTAGCAGGATTAAAAACATCCCCTAAATACATGGTAAGGTCTAGAAAAGAAGAATAAACACATAAGTAAAACAATTATCAAAATTCACCAATACACAACAAACAATTTTTTTTTTAAATAAATAAACAATTAACAAAAATCACTTACCTTTGACTTCATAAGAAAAGATAGCATGATATCCCCAACTTACTGCAATATTTGGTAGTAAACAACTCAATGCTATGTCATACCACGCTAATTGATTGTCCATCACAAACTTTGTGGCAATACCACTGCTTATCCATACAAGGAACCCGAACACCATGGCCAACGTCGCTGAAAACAATTTACAACTTAATAAATTCTGTATAGTAACAAAACAAAATGACAACTAAAATTTTAGACAATTCAATGTCAATTTAAACTGGTATTACAACAGGGCATACTTTTTTGCATTAATTGTAATCGTGATATATTATTACATTTGGAGACAGGATTATATGCAACAAAAAAGGCTGAAATATGCATGGAAAGTACTAAACCTATTCGGATCCCTATAGGTTACCTAGCGTATCTTTCATTTATCTTTTGTTTTAAGCAATGAAGTCAGTTCTGCATATTTCGGTAGCATTGTTAAAAGTGTATTCTACCTCGCAGATATAAAAATTTATCGATTTTGTAAGAATTGTTGTCACTGTATCATCACAACAAAACGAAAGTGTTTAACTTACGAAAATCAATACGCCACAGTGAAAGTTAATTTTAAAAAATGTGTAAATATTATAATTAATCTTATTTTACAAGTTAACCAAATTTTAGGGAAGCATTTCAATTATTGTACATATGTTATTTTTTCAATTTTCGTTATTTGACTGAATCGGGTTTTTGTTTGTAATGATGTAACCTCTGGGTTACAATGGGTCCCAATTTGTGTGTTTTTTTAATAGGCTGGTCAATCATACTTTTACAGGTGAATGAATACAATGGAAATATTAGATCTCATCAATGAGGATTTGGATACTCCTGACCACACAGACGACAGCAATGAAAAGACTTGAACTGCTCCTTCCATGCCTTTCCCCCTGAAGGGGAAGGAGTTTCAAGCGTAGTGGGGCAATGAAGATGAAATTGAAAGTGATGAACCTTTTCATTTGCAATGCATTTGGCAAACAACACTATTTCTGGAACCTCTTCCAGCACCATCCCTGGAACCAGTTCCTCGTACAGAAATGCTTCATTCTTTCTCTACATTTCTTAGGTATAAGGGAAATGAAATTTGACTTCTTGGACTTTTCAGTAGCAGTAGATCACACTTTTGAATTCAGTTTCAGGGCAGAAGATGAAGATAAAGGCTTTAATACATTTCGGAGAGTGTATTGTAATGGGACGGTCGCACATCGCGGATGACGACACAAGCCATATATTTATTTTATTTAATTAAGAACCGCGCTGCCGTTAAGGGCAGCCGGAAATTTCCTGCTTAACCTGAAGAGAGCCGATTGGCGCGCCGGGGGAAACGAGGAAGTAGTGCCTCCTTTGTTCAGCGAGACCCACGCTGGGCGCACCCCTCATGACGTGTGGGGAAGTACGCGTAAGTAATGATTAAAGTAGTTTTATGAAAATGCCTACGACTCCCCTTCCCTCCCCCCTCCCCCCTATATACATACATATACATACATATACACATACACATACATACATATACACATACACATACATACATATACACACATACACATACATACATATACACACATACACACACACATACATACATACATACACACACACACGCATACATGCACACACATATACATATATCTATATATATCTATATATATATATATCTATATATATCTATATATATATCTATATATATCTATATATATATATCTATATATATATATATATATATATATATATATATATATATATATATATATATATACACATATATATATACATATATACATATATACATATCTTGACACACACATTTCCAAGAACATTAATATGAAACACTTCAAAAAAATTGAACTTTTGCATATTAAAAGCCTTAATGAAAATAGGACACTTGGCATGTTATTGAGCAATCTTTACTTTTTTTGAGCAAAAAGAAATAAAGAATAAATTTGTAGCGGTTCTTGAGAAAATTTTATGAATTATTTTCTTGTAAAATACTAGATGGAATAGGGAAAGTCTTGTAACGCAGCTACAAAATAGTTCCTATATTTCTACAGGAAAACTGTCCTGTGGGTATGTGATACCACAGAATAGGATTTCTCTTGTTTGTATATGTATTAAATACATTTCTCTAACACTGTGTATTCAGAATCCACATCTGTATTCTTGTTCCAGAAAAAGTTGTTTTCACCCATCAGACCCAATATTCACAGACATCTTGAGACCAACACAACAGACACACAGACAAGCCAACTAACAGGTATTCAGCCAGTGAACCAGTGAACCAGTGAGCAGTCAGTCAGTCAGGCTTGGAAATTTTTGGCCCACATTCAAATGCCTTACAATGCGAATCAATTTGTCCAGCACTGTTAAAATTATAATCGTGAGAATAATATAATAACTATAATTATGTCCCTGCCTTTCATACATTAATAAAAAGCTCTTATTGACATTCTAGATTAAACATTAATGTATTTCATACAAGAGCTTTCTAAATGCTTTTGATCTGCAAAAGTTTTTAAGTACTTACGCTTCTTGAACAATGCACTAATGGCAAACAGGAAAGTAATTGAAGCAGTGCAGTACAGAATCATGAAAATCCAGAAGACAAATCCAGAACATAACATGACAGGAGCTGTTGAACTGAACGGCGTAACAACAATAACGGTAATAACCGTAACTGATAAAATGGCTACGCCCATTGCATGGGCAAACCAACTAAACCAGAGAATTAGTGAGGGGACGCCCATGAGCTTCATTAATTCCTGTTGACAAATGGTAATAACATTTCTATTAGGATAAATAAATCACCTACGATTTTAATACGTCAATGTAAAGAGATTCTGGCAATCAGTTGCTTTGAAAAAAAGAAAAATAATCAAAATGGACAAATTGATGGAATGTGAACAAACAAAAGAATTTACTGATCTTCATCTGCTGGCTCATTAACTTTACTGTTTAACATTTAGATAATGACTAATAACAATTTGTTGCTCCAAATGTTTATTAGGTTGTATTACTTCAAATTATGGAAAATGAACATTGCACTATTTTGTGTCTGGAGTTAAAAGTGTGAGAAAAATTAATAAATTTTAAACAATTTGAATTTTATAAAATACTTTCATAAATAAAACATTCCAACAGAGGAAGAATTTGAAACTGTGAGAGCACTAGCCAATTTGTGTACATTAGTGATTTTTTTTCTTTTCCCCTTCCAGTCTGAAGGTTAGCAGGGAATGCAAAGAATTGTTTAAGAAATACCATAGCACAAAAATGTGTTCAAGCAGTTATTAAAAAACAATTTGGTAGCTACACCAACAAAAATTTGTTGAATATCTGAATGAAAGATGTCAGTCATTTCATTTGTGTTTCACATGTAATACATATATCATAGTATATATCGATGTAAAACATTTCAATACCCAATACAATTAATTCTGCGACACCAAAATGGCTGTACTTTAGCTATTCCATTTATGGGAAAGCTGAGACTTATCAAAATATCTCAATATATTAATAATGTCCAGAAATATTAATATCCGCCGTTGCTGCTCACTTGTGGAAGAAAAAAACTTAAGCATAAAAAAATACTCGTGCTTGATATTTAAGAAGATCTCCACAGGCTATCTCAATGATCACCATTAACACAATGAAGTCTTCTTATCAGAAAAAATAACTCGTGGACACTATAGTATCTTCTGCTTTTGCACCTAAGCCCAGTGAGTTGGGGTCAGCTTTTTGGATCGCTACTCTCCAGCAGTTTCTACTTTGTGCCATATCCACTGTGACAATTCTGCCAAAATATCTTCCCTCGCACAATCTCTCCACTTCTTCGGGCAGCCACATGCTTATTTCCCCATTCTCTATTCAGTCCAATCTGTAGGCCACACACTCCTTCTCCAGGTCTTCTCATAACATATCCAAATCACCTAAGGCACCTTTCTTGAAGTTTCTCTACTATTGATCTTGTCTACATTGTTCCTTGTATCACTTCATTCCTGGTTTTGTCCTTTCGTTTCACTCTACAAATCCACCTCAGCATCATCTCCAATACATGCAACTTCTGGACACGCTTTGGTCTAAACAGCCAATATATTCCTCATGTCCCATTTCAATCTGGACTGCGAATCACATCCTCACAGGATCTGAAGTGGAGTTCACACATTTAACAACCGACAAACAAAAGCCAACAGTCTGTCCCATATGGTCAACAGAGCCTTCAAGCACCCAACTCAAACTTCATTTGGTCACTGCATCTGGATGCTGTACTCCACTCAGGACTGACTCCCTCAGATAGTGTAATGAGGAAATCATCAAGAGACATTCCTGCCCTGCAACACCTGTCCCACACAAACAGATCCACCTATCAACTACTAATGACCACAGATTGCGGAGAGATCTCACTGAAACTTACTACTAAATGGGCATAACAACTGCCCAGGTTTCAATAATTTCTTCTTCCAGAATACCAACTTCCACCTTCGTCGTCACAATTTTAAATAGAACAATCTATTTTTTGTGCAATCTATAAAAGTTTTTCCTGTGGAACAGAGTTGTTGATCACTGGAATCACCTACCTGTTGTTGCCAATGCCTCAGCATTCACACATTTAAACATTTGGACCAACTTGAAAATAGGATTGCTAGCTTCCACAGCCAGTGTCACTTGAAGGCTCTTGGCTATATGGATGATGCCTTGCTGTTTTTTCTCTTAATTATCATCTAATATCTTTTATTTACTCCATTTTTAACAGGCAATCACCCAATACTTTAAATATAACAATGTATAAAACATATGTTCACACTAATTTAAAATTATTCAAAAATTTGCTTTTTATTATTGTAATAAATTTACCCTTTGAAGTCAAAATATCGATGTCATAATGATTTGCAAGTCTAGGCATGCAATTCACTGCACTACAGTGTATATTCATTTTAACTACTGGTGGTGAAACTACTGGGGATAAATAATGGTGTCTCATCAACTCTTCTCATATCTTGTGGGGGAATTTGCCAGTCTAATTTTGAAAATAATACATCACATTCCGTGTTATTTATAAGATTATAGAGAAATAAGTAGTTAAGATAATTTCAGTGAGATAGTAATGAACCCTCATTTAAAACAGTAGATATTTGTTCATAATTATGTGATACTCTCACTGAAGGAAGTCCAAGTTTCCAATTTACACGATTTAAAAATGTATTCTGTATAGATTCTAATTTATTTATGTAGATGGCATAGAAGGGTATCCAAATAAGTGATTCAAGTATTGATTGCATTAGAGTAAAATATAAAGTTTTCACTGTTAATATATCCGAAAAATCTATGGACATCCCTCCAATAAATTCTATCTGCTTATTAGCTTTGATTGAAAAGTAACCAGTATGATGGTCAAATTTCATTTTAGAATTTTTCTTTGTTTTTCTTTCGGTTTTCTTCACTATTTTTTTTCCCTTTTTTATTTAGCATTATGTACTTTTATATAACTTTCTCATGTGTATCCTTGTTTTACATGAACTTTATCAGGAGATCCTGTCAGATCACATATTTTGTACATAAATAAATAAGTAAATAAATGTTTCAAAATGGGAGAAATCATTCACTTAATAGCACATTCATATAGGACAGCTTGGATAAATAAATGTATACCGAGTTTTAAAATCCTTGAATTGGCACGATTCTTTGTTGTCTTACCTGATGGCATATATAGATTTATTTCTCCTTGTCATAAATTGAAAATAAAAGTACATTCAAATTAATCACACTGACTATTTTTACCGGCTTTGGTTAACTGAGAACTGAAGAAATTTTCTTCAAAAGCTTTATACAGTTCTCAAATTTTATAATTTGTGTATGGACAGGTGTATATAAAGATTTATTTACAGGCCTTTTATTTTTTTCATAAATCTATTATAAATAACTGACAGCCTAACTAACTCATATTTCATCTTGAAGAAATCAAAGTTAGACTACAACAATTTAAAATCCTATTATGTAAGAAATTTACTACATATAAAATATTAAAAATTCCTCCCCAAATTATTTAACCTCTCAATATAAAGCTGAAGCTTGATTTGATAGTGCGTAGAAGGCAAGGGAATAGGGCAGAACGAATCATCATGGCAGCAAGCTCGGTGCACTGATACATTCTTCTATCTCCAGACAGCATTCCGCCAAAGAGAAAAATATTCCTTGAACTCTCAGGAAGATTCCCACAAAGTGGAGTGAAGGAACACAGCACTTCTGTCAGCTTCCCATGTCAAAAAGTTGATATTATTTTCATAACACCATACGGCAATCTTAATTGAATCTTAATGAGGGAAATCTAAACAAGTCTATTAAACCCTTTTCTAAATACACTATTTTTCTTCAATCCTGAATATTCTACGAAGTACAAAAGTGAATAAGAACTGACCAGTAAGTACAGAGATACAAGTTCAAAAGTTGGGAGTTCATTTTCCTCACAAAGATATTGATATTTGCTAAAATAAATCAAAGCACATTCTGGTCATTTTAATCATATCAAAAAACCTTATTATAATACAAATTCAGAGCCTATCTTACAGCAAATTCAAAAGAATATTTTCATTTAAAGTTGTTAAAACATGTGCAAAGCAATTAATTACATACCTTGACACCAGTGCTTTTCTCCTCAACAATACGTTTTAGCACTCCAGGGCACAAGAAGATGAAGCTCAGAATAGTAGCAAGAGGCAAAAATTCATGAATTATTTTTTTGCCTTCATTGGTATTCATTTCAAGCTGAGGAAATTTTAACAACGAAAGCTGAAATTGAAAAAATAAAGCAGTTATTTATGAGATGATGTCATTCAAGATACTTCATATTTTTTGTTCTTTTCTGAACTCCAAAATCCTCTGACTTTCAACAGGGGATGCAAGACTGTGGAGTTAACAATTGGTATGTGTCTACCATGTTCATTTTTGACTGATTTCTAACTGTTCGACAATGCATTAAATTGGAATAGACGAGTATAGTTATATTGATATCAACTAATTGTATGCATTTCATGACTTGTGATGACCGGTCAGTGGAAACAGTGCCAACAAGGCAAGTGGAAAACCCTAGTTAAATTTCTCCAAAACTTTTGTAGTGGAGTGTAGGCACTGTCTGACAAACAACATTAATTCTGAACAGTCCAATGATTTATCAGATTTATTTGTATCTTATCAGTATTGATTTGTATCAGTTTGTTACAGTTTATTACATTACGAACTGCATTTAACTATGAATTGCATATTTATTAATTGATTACATTTTCATTTCTTCGCAATCAAATTGCTCTTTTCCTGCTGCACTGCTTCATGCGCCACAAAGACGCTGCTGGAGGGGCTCAGGGCTCAAAACCAAGGGTAAGTAAGAATTAAATATCCATAAACTGACATAGCACTGATATGAACATGATCTATTAAAAACATTTTCTGTAGGTCTTTCCCAATAGCTTCAAACATTTATAACCTCATTCCAATTAACTTAGAAGAACAGTATTTCCAACAAAATTATATCACCATGGTGCCATTAAAGAGGTTTGAGGATCCTAGATTATTTGCAATAAAAAAAATTGTATTGTCTTTACCAACGTATCAGCAGTGATTAGAGTATAATGTTGTGCAATGAGGTGCAATATAATAAGTGAAAATTAATATTACGTATTAATGAAAGCATGTGGAATGTTCCATAAAGAACCAAACCATTTGCAACAGTCTTATCTGTATTGGGAATTTTTAACTTTTTAAATTGAAGAATTTTTTGGTTATTGAGATTAAAATGGACAGAATCATGGATCACAAAAACTGATGCTAAATATTAAAATATTTTGTTATTTTATACATTTGATGAGGTTTACATTTGACTGTTTTTATTCCGTATCTTCAATTTGTAGAATCTTTAGCCTTAATTAAATGACTCATAATTAAAGATGCCACAGTGAAAATTCTGTCCGTAATATTAACTTAAATAATATAATTCTTCTTCAATTATATTACTTAAATATTTCCATTCAAGTCAAGTTGGTTAAAAAAGTTGAACTTGGGTGCACAAAGAATAGGCTTTAAAGTTCTCAAAAAGCTAAAAATGAAAAAAAGAGGTACTTGGATCATTAATATCATTCCACAAAGTGAATAACTAAATCATTACAAGAAGTTATGGTATAACCAAACAAACCAATAAACAAGCAATAAACAAACAAGAGAGAAAATGACAGATACTGAACCAAACAGAAAGGACATCTTGAACACTGCACCAAAACACATCAGAACGGAAAAGCTAAAAAAAGGTATTAAAATGGCAAGAAAGCAAAAATGTCCAGGCCTCAACAATATCAACATAGAACTATTGTAATATAGAGAGAGGAAATTAGAAAATAACAAATGTTATATGGAGGAAACTAACAATATCAGCTAAATGGAAAACAGGAATAGCAATGAACATCAACAAAAAGGGACCAAAAAAAACTTAAGAGAATTACAGAGGAATTATAACGTAACTGACAGCACACTAAATCTATGCAAGTATCCTAAACAATAAATTATTAGAAACAAGTGAATACTTAATAGAAGAGGAACAATGTTGCTTCAGAAAGGGAGAGAAACCGTTGATGTAAAATTTACACTAGATCAGATAATTAAAACAAGTAAACACAATCAACCAACCTATATTTGTTTACAGACTAAGAGAAGGCATATGATACAATAGACTGAGTACTGCTATACTCCAAGAAGAGAAAATTGAAGACCACCTAATACATGCAATATAGAGTTTATACAAAGATTCAAAAATCAAAATACAGATGGAATTATATCAGAAGAAATAGCAGCAAATGTAAGACTATGACAGGGATGCACATTAACCCCAATACTATTTAATTTGCATGAGAATAACTTGACCAAAACTTGGAACAAGGAAATAGGAGGAGGAATCACACATAGGAGTGGACCACAAAATGAAAACGACAATAAATGCTGAAAACTAAACAATACAAGCAACATCTGAAGAGAATTACAAAAAGCATTATCATAAACTAAATAAACTTACAAGGATTATAAAATGAAAATGTCACTTTAAAAGACAAAGTCCATGAGTAAAGAACATAGAAGAACAAAAACTCCTATAGTAAATAAGATAATAGAACAAGTGCAATCGTTCACATACTGGGAAATAAGATACCATTAACAGAGGAATAAGGAATCAAAATTAACAAAGTGCAACAAAATAAACGGTTGCATTAAAAGACACTTCCAAAACATGAACATTGAGACAAAAACTAATTACGTAATATTGTGGCAAAACCAACACTATTATATGGTAATGAAACACATTCTTAAACACACAGAAAAAAAGAATTGAAGCGACACAAATGAGATATCCGAAATAAATTTTAAAAGTTTCAATGAGAGAGAAGATAAGAAATGAAAAGATCAGAAAACACTTACAGTTAAAAATATTGTCTCAGAAACTCCAAAAGAAATGGCAAGAACATACCAAAAGAATGAAGATAGAACATTTTCCCAAGGAAAGTCCTTAAAGTACATCGAAGTGGAAGAAGAGACCCTGGCAGACCAAGAATGCACTAGGAAGGACAAGAACACCTCAGCAGTAACTGAGGGGATATTGATAAACCAAAGGAACACACCTATTCCTTAAATGTTCATTTTGGTAATTATGATGAAGTTGAACTTCATTTATTTGAATTTGTGATAAATCTAAACAAAATAACATCTAAATTCATCTACATCACTAATTTTAACAGTAGCTTCCATTTTGTGACTTATCATGGAGTTAACAATAAAGAAATAATGAGAAAAGTGTGGCTGGTTACCTGAGATTCCACCAATTACAATAAAGAAGTTAGCGAAGTTCACTTTACAGAATTCTAAGTCATTTTCAAAGGTGCTTAGATGCCTTGGTTTTGGTGAAGTGTAAGTCTGGTGGCAAACAATGATGGTGGCTAGCTACGTGATTATAATAAAATAATAGCTGCTTGTGTAAACAAAACCATGCTGACAGCAAGAGGAATTCTGACACTGGATAAAACAAAAAAAGGATGAACCATGCAGAAGCAGCAGGACTAAATATTATAGTTTTGTTGTATTTGGAACACCTGATAGAAACGTCTATGGCTTTAATGGAAACAAGACATTTCCTTGATTCATGTGAAGGTAATGGAAATGTTTACTAAAAGAAAATTAACAGAATACTATTGTGGCATTTGGTGACATTTAAACAGTGTTCTATAGAAAAAAAAATAAGGAAAAGGTTTTCCACAGTTTGTATCATTTCAATGAATGCTACTCCATTTGTGAATAGTAGGCCTTAATGTCATCACCATAATTTCCAGCTCCTTTGGATTCCCAAAAATCTGGATTACTTTCAGCCCCTGCTGGTAAGAATTGAGAGAAATTCTATTGCATTTTCAAAATTGCCAAATTTTCAGAACATTTTTTTAAATTTTTTAATACACTCGGAAATAATTAACATTAATTATAAACAGTTTTTAATTGTTTCAACATTTGTTTCTATTTTTTAATTGGAAAACAGAAACTGAGCTATACACAATTGAGTTTTGAATTAACCCTGATATTATTGATCACTTCACTCCACAATAAATATTTGATACTGCCAATAATTTATCAGCTGATAATCAATAATCCTGATTGCACACATTCATAAGAAGACACTAGAACAAAGAAACTTACAGAAGATTTCATCTCCCTTCCAATTAGCTTGAAGAAGCAACGATTCAACTTCAACTGGATGAGCAAAAAACCATTATTTTTATATTGATCTAAAAAACATGAAAAAACTATTTAGTATTCAAGCACTTTAAGAAAGCATGTAAATTAGTTTAATTCTGCTTCCCAAAAACAGTGTCAACTGTAAAGTATCTTACCTGCAGACATAGCATCAAATAAGCCAGCATATAAACTACTACTGGCATACGAATATGGAGATCCAACAGATCTTATCTTATAATTAATTGATTTTAGAGGGATTTCTGTCATATCTCCCAGAAATACAACTCCCAATATGCGTTTGCTTAGAGAATCATTATGATAAGAATGTTTAAACACTTTCTCCATTTCAGATTCATGACTCACGCCTTGAATGTCTAGATTGAAGAAACAAGATTAGTATGTAACTAACACTTATTACACAATTTTTTATTACGTGCATGTTTTAAATTTTATCTTACCTGCAGCCACATCCTGAAGTAAATCAGTTTTAAACATCATCATCAATTTACTGGTGACATTATTAATTGGCGTGTAAAGAATGAGTGTTTCTTTTTCATAATCATTCTTCAGAGAAATGCTTTTTTCTGGCTCCAACTCGTAAATCTGCTCACTTTGTCCCTTGATGATATTCGCAACATGGCTATTGAGACTAGCTAATCCAATAAACAAGAGACATGGAACACACAATTCTAGTAATGTCACGAACCAGTGACATTTTCTAACAATAAGGCCTTTCCACAGCAGAATACCAAACTTTTGTGAAATATTAGCCATTATTTATCTTTGAGATTCAAGGGTCTAAATCACAAAACAAAACATTTCTGAAGTCTATTGCATCGCATTCGTTATTCGAGAAATTTGACAAGAACTATGTATACTGCTACCTATTGACTTCGGATAGAAACAGAAAAATGTCTCCTTCACATAACGATTGGCACGGAACCACACACGAAATATCGCCCTTGTAACGCCTTTCTCTTCACCAACTGCTTCTTTTACAACCTACATTCACACGAACCGTCACCACCACGCAATTTCCTGCGCCGACCTGCACTGTCCGTCCAGCCCTGACATGGCAGGGGGCGTCGACGGAGAGGGGGAACCCAAGCCACATACCCAAACGATAAAACACTGCTTACGTCAAGTGCATGTTGCCAATATTCCAAACAAAAGTTTTGTAATTTTTAATCTTCGTACACTCGCTACACATACGGGAATATGAATTATTTGATGCTTTATTTATTCTTCGTCCTAAATAGTAAAAACTGTAGGTGGTATATGGGGAAGTATACTCGTAAACACTGGAATGATTTCAAAATTCGAATATACACTATTTCGAAGAAAAATGAACCTACTATTGTTACAAAAGTATCTTAATAAAAATAAGTAATGGCTCTCATCATGACAGTAAACTCAATCTAATTTCACAAAAAATTTGATCCCATTTTATGTTTGAAATATTGATTATCATGGTAAAAGTACCATAGATACAATATGAAGGACGGAAAGTAATTTAAAGGGAGGAATCACCATGGCTGAAAATACTTTAACAGTTGAATTATTATTGGGACCGGATTTCAATGCAAATGCGTTTTATTTCCTTTAATCAGAAATAATGTTTACCTGATAAGAAATTTAAAAGTTGTTAACGTCAACGAATCGTCACGTGACAAACTCGCAAACGCACATGGGGCTTCCCCTAAAAATGTGAGCGATACACAATGCCATAAGGAAAGGAATTTCCCTTTTTATAATATGAAGTTGGGTTCTAAGGGAGTCTCGGAAATGTGTTCAAATGTGATTCTAATGATAACAGTTAAATGCATTTAGCGCAGGCCTTCGATTATGTAAAGTAATACTATTAACTAAGAGTACTCCTATGAAATCTCATTGAGTAGTATAGTACAAGCAAAGTGTCAGATCAATGTACTATGCGTTAAAATGATGATGATGATGATGATAATAATAATTGTTATGTTCTTGGGATGATAAATAATTCATTCGGAAAAGTTAAAGTACAAAGCATTTATTGAATTCACAATACATAATAGGTAACGCGCGACAACTTATTAACGGCCACTCGGCAACTCGTCGGGGAGAACGTCCGTCCGCTACGATTGACGGAGGAGGCATGCTCCTTGCAGCATGAGAATGACAGACGGCGCCAGAGCGTCGCGTGCTACCAACTGTTGAGCGCCAAATCACCAACAGTAAAAGAGGAATAAATTTAGGGTGCATATACAACAACAATAAGAAGAACAAAAACAATAATAATAACAGTAATAATAAAAATAATAATAACAACAATAAGAACAATAACAATAATAACAATAACAACGTCGAAACATTTTGAACAAGAAATATGGGAAGAAAGCAGATCCTATAACAACAAAGACGCGTCTTGGCTCCAATCTAAAGTACAGGTGCGACATTAATCACAAAACATCGATGTTCAAAATTGATACATCGATATACATTGACCAAAACAATCGATGTTTTTCAGCTCCGATGTTTTCAAACTGGTTTAGTAACCTCTAACATCGCATGTGTAACAAAATTAAATGTGAAAGTGTTAAAGTTTATCAATTCACCGAATAAGGGCACGTGAAGAAGGGGCAGAGCCCACAGCTAATTTGTTGACCTCATCTCAATATGCGAAATGAATATGAAGAAAGACGAAATACAAGCGCATGGAGGTCGGGGGAGAGAGTTTGGTCAATGGAGATAGTACAATATAAACAGCGTTCCTTTGCTTTCATCACATGAATTAACAGTACTACGATCAGTGATATTTCATATTTTAGTTTTTACAGTTCTGTGATCAAGTGAATTTTTCATTCAGAGACAAAACATCGAGAAAGAAAAAAACGTCGACGGTGTTAATATATCGATGTTTAAAACATCGATGTTCTGAAAACATTGACATCGATGTCTCATTCCAATTCTGAAGTCGATGTTGCCCAGATGCAGTACTTCGGATCATTTATTGGAGGGGGGGCAAAGGGTCCCCCGCATAAGATAGTAAAAAGTTACCCTAAACCAAATATATGAGTAATTACACTATTATTCTAACATAAACATATTTTTGAAATATTTCTTAGCCCTTGCCTCACCACCCACACTTCATGTAAAGTACATCAAAATTTTAAAGATTGACGGGTTTCTTCAATTTGTAAGAAACCCTACGCATGGTTTAGGGGCTAGTAGTGTACAAAGACGGAGAGACAGACGGGCAGACTGACGGACAGACGGAGGTTAGTTTTGACGGTTATACGTACGCCTAAGAGAAAATAACTAGTAGCGCTACAGAATGGTTCAGCCTTTCTCGTATTAGTATTCTATTTTCTTTGGACTGAGCTAGCTATTTGGACTTCCCCATACTCTTGCCAGCTGCCGTTTATCGCCGCCCAAAGAACGTCTTAAAAATTTCTCATTTTTTCGGTTTCCTTGCAGAAGAACAAAAATACTTATTTAAGAATATTAAAGAAGAGTAAAACCTCGTTCTAAATCGCAAATTTCATTGAAAAATTTGGAGGTTTTAAAGGACATGTACTCATAAATACAGTAATGTGAATAAATTGCTACTAATGTAAATATTAACGACGTAAGACAAGCCTTTCCTTTTTATATTTATATATATATATATATATATATATATATATATATATATATATATATATATATATATATATATATATATTGAAAAAACTAAAAGAATAAAGCATTATGGGTTTTGTGTTATTTTATAGAGTACATTTGTCACTACATCTACCAAAAGTTTAAGAAAAATTGGAGCCGTTTTCGAGAAAATCTTGTTTTTGTTAATTTTAAAGTTGCATTTATTACACGAAATGTTGTGCGAAAACTACTAAGCTTTCAAAAAATGTGCATGACCTTAATTAAAGAACTAATTATTGACAGCAAATTCCTATTAAAGGAAAATTTTCTATTTTCAATAGAGTAGATGTAGTAAATTGCCGAAAAAAATCATACTTTTACAATTGTCCAAAATTCAGAGTAGTGAAAAATCTATATATGCCACCTTAATAAGTGTATTTCCCTCTATTCCTTCAAGAAAAATAAAGAAAAAAATTAAAGCCATTTTTGAGAAAATTTTGAAAACGTTCCAAGAGCTACATGTAAAGTAACCGCAAAAATTAATGAATGTTCTTCAAAATCGAAGAGCTTCGACTCAGAGCAAATCGACAAGAGTTTCTTCAATTTGAAAAAAATTCTACCTACACTCGTACACACACCAGATGGACAGGCGGACGGACAGACGTTTTGAAAAGAAAAAAAAAAAACTTTTCGATATGAGGGGACCCCAAAACGTGTAGTTCCGTTGAAATCTCGAAATCGATTTTCCGCAAAATTACATATCTTTGTCTACACCACTTATATTACTCCATATACGTACGTATACGAGAAAGTAAGAACATGTTGTAGTTGCAGGTAGACGCCGATATTTTTTAAAAATGTTTTCAATATTTTTTGAAACATTAGACATTTCAACGAACGGGAGACCTGCATCATTCCCTTAAGCGTTATGTACGCTAAGATTAAAATTTAATAAAACTAGTGGCTCTAAAAGAACACGTACTTTCTCGCCTTTAGTAATAGTTATGTACGAGTAATACCAATTACACCATAATTTCTCTCCGACATCTCAGTCATCACTTTTTGTAAAACTCATTTGAAATCGTAGAACATTTGGTGCGAAAATTTAGTAGTTTCAAGCAATAGATTTTTATTCAAAACTTTACTTAAAAATATTTCTGGCATTGAATTTATTGTAGGTTGTGTATTCACGAACATATTGGAGGACATTTTAGCCTTACAATATTCTTCGTAAGCAGTATGCGAGAAAGTAAACTAAATAAAAGCCAATAAATAATAACATACTGATAGCGTTGGCAAACGAATGCAAACAGATCGAAAAATATGTAATAGTAATTATTAAACACTATGGTATTATCAAAGAATATATAAACGTATTAGTATATATTACCGCGAAAGAAATGCAGCCGTCATTATCGTTTTCTGTATCAGTGCGGGGTTTCAACGATGTTTTACAACCTCCAACAATGACCGCTTATATATTCGTTTTCACATTAATTACGTAGCATCCAACTACGTATGTTGGGAGCGGGCAACTGAAGGCTAGAAATCTTAATTTCATGTTTATTTCAAATAGGTTTTAAATAATATCTAAACGATTAATTTGGAAACTGATGACAAAAGCTCCAATGTAAGAAACGAACAGAGAATTATAAAACATTAAATAATATACACATTCTAACTTACGTAGCCTCCAACAGCCTCAAAACACCTCAAATTACGATTAAGAAGCGCAGGATTTGCAGAGCGAGCGACTAACTTTGACTCCCAATTACTCAAATAGCACTCATAGTTTCGAAATATTGAATATGACCTTATTTGAAAACCTGTTTTTGATGAACACATGCCATTAAGAAAATAATTTTGTATCTTCATATTTGTATATATTATATTATTCAAAGACACCGAAAATTTTTGAATTTTTTCAACTTTCGAAAATCAGTATTTTTAACCAACATGAGACCTGCACATTTTATTAAACGTCCTTCAGATTATCTAACAAAAATTTCACCAAAATCGATGGTGACAGTTTTTTGATAATTTAAAAAAGTTCCAAGGGCTTCATGTAAATCCCCCCCCCCTCAAAATTAGAAAATCGATTTCAATGTAAAGGGGCCATGACATCAGTCAGATCGATTGGGGAATATCAATTTTGGACAAAATCGGCTGAACGATTTAGACGCTAGCGTTGTTAACAGACGTTTTACTTTTAATCGATTATTCGGTATCAAGGGCCCATAAAACATGTATTCTGGCTTCACCATATTTCCTATATTTAGTAACTGGATTTATCCACTTTTTCGTAACCAGGCCACTGTAGTAAGTTTTTCTACCGAAAACTCGCCGTTTTTTCATGCAGCATTAGATAACTTTCACTTCTTAAGAAGCTTCGTCTTATGCGCGAGAAAGTATAAGTGTGGTATCGTTTTTAAGAAAAAAATGGGTTAAAGAAAATACA